CCCCCCCCCCTCTCCCCAGTTATTATCAGGAGTTACACTCACCGTCGAACAGTTGGAGAAACGAAGCCTGGGTACCGGTGGTGCCCTTCACTCCACGGAACTTCAAGTCGTCCCTGGCTCGACGAAGAGCCCTCTCGTCCATCAGAAGATCGTGAAGCCACAACGTAGCTCGTTTACCGACGGTCGTAAGTTGCGCTGGTTGAAGATGAGTGAACCCCAAGGTCGGCAAGTCACGATGCCGGCGCGCGAATTCCGCGAGACGCGACAGCACGTTGGCCAATTTCGGCAGAAGGATGTCGAATCCTTGACGAAGAATTATCAGGTCCTACGAAAATCAATGGACAAGGTGTTTCATATGCAAGAAAAAAACGACGTGTATTACTGTAAAAGTGTTCGTTTTACCGTGTTGTCACCGACGTAGCAACTGGTTGCACCCAGATGAATTATCGGGGCGGCGTTTGGGCACTGGTTGCCGAAAACGTGCACGTGGGCCATTACGTCGTGTCTGGTGGCCTTTTCCTCCCTCGCGGCCGCTTCGAAGTCTACGTCGTTCGCGTGAGCCTCCATCTCGGCGATTTGCTCCGGGCTGATGGCTAGGCCCAGTTCCTAAAACATAATTGGAAACGACGAGTGTCCGACTCTGCGCGAAAGAATGTGAAGGTTTGTAAATTTCGAGATAAATGAAGCATGATAGGTAAGCGCTGATTAGCGTCTAATCGCTAAATCTTTTTAGAAAGTGCATCCAGACGAAAATATATTTTACCTGTGTATCTTCCCATTAGCGGAATTCGGAGTTGAATTTTTTGAAGCTAAATTCTATTCGGATGGACAAATACGTAATCGGGGGAGTAGAATGCAACGCAACATTTCGCAATAATTTTATCGAATTCATCGAATTCGTACGAAATTAAGCGTTCAAAAATGGAGCAACAATAAACGTTACATTTCAAAGGCGTCGAGGCGTGTTATCTTCAGCTTTCTACGCGTCTTATCCCTCTTTCGACGTACGGTGTATCATCTGATTAGATAAAGAGGACTCGACGGTGCTGGCTCGAAAGTATATCCAGCACGCTTTTGTTTCAATCAGGCAACCTGTGTGTGAAGAGTTCGCGCAGGAAGATCAATCATGGTGTCTCTGGAAAGTGTCGCGGGTATAGTGATAAAAGTGTTTAAACTGGTGAGGAAAATTATTCTCTCTCTCTCTCTCTTTCTCTCTCATCTAACCCTTTACTTGTATTAAAATCAAGCGAGCCAAATCGATAGTTCTCGACGAGATAATAAACGTGCAACGAGATAATGAAATTGTGCCCGTAAAAATAAAGTCCGAGTGACGATCAGTTAGACGACGTTTAAAGTCTAGAATTCTCGCGATTTCGTACGTAAAGTCGAGACTCTTCGTTTGTTTCGCAATCTGTGAAAGTTTTCCGAAGAAAAAGCAACGATGGATTATTTCTCGTTTCAAAGCTGATCAGTGGGCTTCCAAAAAATTCCATCCAAAAAAAAAAAAAAAAAAAAAAAAGAAAAAGAACGCGTAGACTGTACGCCTGTGAATCTGATTAATAACATTCACCAATTAGCGTAACATTTCCACGCTAATAATTCATCGGCAATCAGACTCATTCAAGTCACGATTTGATACATAGTTCTATGATTCATTTCGGTTATCGATGTACGATAACGATGTTTGTAGTCAGATACGGCATTACAGTATCGCTGTGTATCAGAGTGTGTATCACTACTTTTTACTTAGAGTTATCTTTTTCTTCTCTTTTCGTTTTAACCCTTTCTGTACGAGAGCGCGTGGTCAGTTCTCTCGTGTACAAAGATTTTCCTTAGCGTTCAATAAGAACTGTGCTTAATAAAACAATGTTCCTTCTAACAAATGTCGTTAGTTTTAATATTAAAAGGCATTCATATTAAATTCTGTTAATTATACAAGTAACATTAGAATTATATAAGTACACACAGGTGATCTGATGGATGTCGGCGCTCGTATCGAATGGGTTAAGAAGGACCAAGAGAAATCGACTTCGAAAAGTTCCTTCGCCTCTGTACACGTGGTATTCCTCTGTTAATCGTTTCAGGTTATCAACATCATAATCCTGATCCTGTATCGAACAGGATACAAGGGAGAGTTCCTAGGCGTGGGAGGAACGTGGAACTTGAACGAGGACAAAAACCCAGACGCAGAGATCGTCGCGTCCGGGGTCTTGGTGGGATTTTTCATTTACACCAGCGTCGTTCTCATTAGCTACTGTTTCGGCACTACTTATCACAAAAGGACGCTAGTCGTAAGATCATTCTCACTCTAAACATCTTCTTTTATCTTACAAATGAAAGTTTACTTTTTACTGCACTTCGTAGTGAATATTATCAATATATCAAAATAAATAACCAATTCACTCTGGCTTTAATGGGAATTGGGATTTTTAGGAAATTATAATGAATTTCGTTGGGACGTTCATGTTCGTTGCTGTAGGCGGCACAGCGCTCCACTATTGGCACGGTTATCAAGCGGAAAATAAATTCGATTCCATTGTCCAGGAACGACAGGTAACCTAATTGCTAATAACCTAACTATCAGTTAGATTATTTAGTACTTCTTCTGTCCACGTTGATTCTCCATTGTAATTTTGCACAACAGATAGATCTCGCGCTGGCACAAAATTGCAATTTTTCTTTTCTTTTTTCTTCTTCTTTCTTTCAGGTGGGCTTGGCTGTCGGATCGTTGTGCGTCATCGAGGGCGCAGCGTACCTCGTCGATCTAATATTAAGTTTCCTGCATTTCGCGAAAAATCAGGGTGAATTTCTAGAATAAAGCCATGTATTTCACACATACGTGGCACATAGAATAGTAATCTCGCCGCATTTCCACCACAGCAAACAGTGTCGTAACTGTGGTGCAGCCGGATCCCCCCATCGTTCGAAAGTTTCAATGCGTGTCATTCACAAAATCTCGAAACGGTTCGTGCCAGCAGTTACGAGGATTAGTTATCCTAAGTCGAAGATTAGATAATAACCATTTGATTGACAGAAGTGTTGAAAATCCAAGGAACACACATCGACGTAGTTATTTTACTTTAAACGATTAAAAAATTTCGATCATCGACGATGATGTGTCACCGCATACAGAGAGAGAGAGAAACGGCATATAGGAAATAGTATTTAATTTTTATATATGGCGTTGCTACATTCTTGTACATGATTTATATGACAATTTAATATACATATTTTAATGAACTTTCCAAATTGACTGTTTCAAATCTTCCCCTCATGACGTACAACACACTCCCG